CAGCTTGAGTCACGTTGAGATGTTTGTTACTGATAGAAAAAGGGGAAATTATTAAACATGTGCAGAAAGATTGTACAAACACATTAGCTTTAAATGCCCAGTCGCTTATTAGTGAAAACTCATTACAGATATTAATAAATAGGGCAAATATAATTTGCTGCCCTATAGGAATACTTTAAAAAATCACCTGATACACAATGCTACATGGTTTTATATTTTAGTATCTTATAAATTAATGATTACTAGATTGCATAAAAGTGCACTGAACAGTAAAAAAGCTGATGTTTCAGTAAATAGTTATCATTCACTTTAGCTTATGAGGCTCTACTAGAACCACTTGCATCATTCATTCCCCTCACAACTGCCATGGTTGGTTATTTTGACCCTGTCCTGCAACAATAGCAGAAATCCAAAGAAATCACCTTGAAGGAGTGAAGATGTGTCATCTAATTTTTCTAATTATAAGTAGGATTTAACAAAATATGTTTTTAGGATTAAGTTTTAAGGGTTTCATTAGTTTTATTAAAATAACATATGTAACATATTAGATATTAGAATCCATAGATAAACAAATAAACAAAGGGTATTATAAACATATCTAAATTATTTTATTATTATAGTAGAACATTATAAAAAAAGTTTAAAAAAGAAGATGTTTGGCTAATGCATCATATCTAATTAAGCTAAAATAAAGAGGATACCAGATTTAACAGGTTACAATGACCTCTTTGGGATTTTCAGTCTTACCAGCAAGTTAAGTTCGCTTAACTTAGCTTAGTCTTCCAACTGTTAGGCTAATGGTGTACAGCTATTCAAGGGCTTGTTTTTTTGGCTTTAAATGACAACATATGCATTTAGTTCAAGTTCTAGAGTTTGTCTAGAAAATTACTTATCAAGCTTTTCGGCATCTTTAGCCACAAGCTAGTTGCTAACTTAGTCTGGCTACTATTGGTTGCATGCCAGGTAAAAGTAGGATTTAAGAAGATTTTTTGTTGTCACAAAAAACTTTACACACCTGACAGGAGTTAAAATACAGAGATTGATGATAACTCTTCCCTACACAAGTCGCAGCCTCTTGTTGTAAAAAATCATAAAAAAGTTGAAAGATTTGGGTTTGTCCCAATCTTACATTGCTTGCATTTAGGTAGGAGTGAATTTGGAGCTCTTCTGCCATGATCTTACATTTGGAGAAGTCTGTGTGTTAAGTTTGTGTTTACACACATGGCCGCAGATGCATACTGTCAAATACTTGGGCTAAATAAGATTACATCTCACCCTACTACATAAACTTTGCTCCCTCATGTTGAAACTGCTCATTTGGTGATTATTTAGCTTCAGAGCTGCTGTAAGCTAACATCCAACGATGCTGTTATGAAAAGGCAATTCGACCAAAAGAATAACAGTATACGCTAACCCTTTCAACCCTCCAAGTTTTATTTGACAGTCGGAAAGCTCGGGTCTCACTGACAGATTAGTTGCCATTATAAGCACCTCAGAGAGGCTCTTAGATGTTTCAGAGTAGGTGTTTTGTGCTAATGAGTATGTATCACTGTGTGTGCACATGCTGCGATGCCAGTGTAGATGAGTGTGTCTCTCTGAGTGTTTGTTTTTAACAGTCCAAGCAAACACATACCCATTCCGTTTCATTTAAAGCATGCGATTGCCAAATCATTCCCATCTCCCACATTCAATTACTTGCATTTTCCTCTGTATATCCTTCCATATTTGCTTGATTCCAGCATTTGGTGTTTCCCTTCTGATATAAATGTAAGAGATCAAGGGCTTGCTTGGTAATACGTCTATGCACACAGTTCCCCCCCATCTCATCTCTTTCACCAGCTCATCAGGTCTCACAGTAAATATCTGATCTCAAATATCACAGGTACTAAAAGTGGTTGTTGGACTGTGCTGAGCTCATATGAGGACAGTTTATCTGCAGCACTTGTTTTTTTGTTTTTTTCCCCAGAGGATGAGAGGAAGCCATGCATAAAGATAGATTAGAGAATGAAGAGGAGATATTCAGAGTGCAGCAGTCCACTCACACGAGTTTTAATCTCAGTAAACAGTGACATCTGCTGAAAGGGCCGCACCATGGAGATCAGAGCGGATTTCTTTCCTGCATTTCATTTCATTCCTTGCATTTTTCTTTTGTGTGTGTGTCACTGTCGTTATTATTCTTAAAGTGTGTAGAAATTGGAGCATGGTTTATAATATCAATTTACGTACTCATTATAATCAAATGCATTCATACTCAAAATCATTTATTTTTTAAATCTCATTGTTTTCAGAATTATCTGTGTGCTAATCTGACATTTTCTTTCTTTCTTTTTTTCTTTTTTTGTGCTGTGACACATTTCCTGAAACTGGCAAAGATCCTTTTAGCCCTAAGGGTTGGTTTCACTTTTATTTCACTTCTAAAATAGGGATTTTTTTTTCATTGACATTTTCAGCTACAGTAAAATCCAATTTATCTTCTTAAAATTAACCAAAAGTGTATTAAAAGGCCTAGGGCTATGAGTTCAGAAATGAAGAAAGCATGCACTGTTGAATTTTTAACTTGGAGGCAAAGTCTCAGAGGTAACTTGTCTTTATTAGAACTGACTGGAAACAGAGCCACACTTATTTATTAGCTTACTTGAGCACTTTTAGTTATATTAATTAGCAGGCAGCTCCCCTTTAATGCTTTCCAACATAATCAGGAATTTATAAAACAGTAAATCTTGCTACATTTTGTTGTTTTGTGTTTCTAAATTTGAGTTTAGAAAAACAAATTTTCTTCCTGAGTCTCTTGGAGACATGTTGACAGCATGGAGGTTCACGTGGAAATCCAGAGTCAGCGGCTCTGCAGGAGAAATGAATTGGCATGTGTTCTAATTAGCAACTGACTCCAGATGTGGCAGATGGAGCCACAGCTGTAGTCAATGTTAAAACAAGACTCCCATTTCAACTCGAGTGGTAAAGGTGCATCAAAGTTGAATTTATATGATTTGAGCAAAAGTAAGCTTGAAATAGCTTGAAATGAATGTACGGACGCCTCAAAAGACATAAAAACCCATTAAAAATCTCATCAAGCTTCATCAAATTTCATTTCATTTCTTTCCTTTCTTTAATGTAAACCAGGTGAGAAGAACAATCTATAGTCATTTCTTTGAAGCATTATTACTTCTGCCAAAGAGGTTATGTCGAGTTTGTGTGCGAGCCTCATTCAGTCTGTGAACACAGTAGTTTCGGATGAGTTCTGAAACTTTCAGTGTAGCTAGTTAAAACATTTGTCGGCTACCCTTATCTGATCTCGCAGTGCTTCTTGCTAGAACATGATGTACTAGATGACTTAGAACACTAATTATTTTGTCTCACTCAGAGCATGCTGGGAAAATTATACCCCTTCTAGTACATAGCTAAAAGAAAGATAGTAATGTTACAGAAGGTGCTAGCACAAAATGTACTCTGTGTGTTTATCATGCATCAGGCAATTAAATATTATTTGAGAAAACATGAGTGGGGTCAGCCTTCTGTAGCCAAAATGAGTAGAGCACAAACATAGTTCCCACATCCCATAATCCCACCCATTTAAGAGCAAGTTGGAAAAAAAAAGACGTCTTCAACCTGCTCTTAGACTTTTGTTAAGGCCTTTTCTGTCACTTGTCTTTTCGGGGCTTCCATGCTGTACTATCTGTACAGTGACTTAATGGTAAAGAACGAGGGATAAAGCGAACCTCACTGCCACTATTGCACACTAGTTACATAAAGTATCTGATTAGTGAGAAGTTGCATTACTGGCTTGTGGCTCAGTAGTTTTAAGTCCAGCCTGACAGATGCTTCTTGATGGCAGCAGCTGCTGCTGCTGGTGTGTAATCTTGTTAATCCAAGCATAGGGAAACCTATAGCGCACTGCGGTCAACAACAATGAGAATCACAAAAGGGCACAAAGTGGGTCAACAGCACATCTGCAATGTGGCTGCTATAAAGACCATGAGATATTTGTTAGAGCAACTATATGTTTGGCTTTCAGCCTACAGAATGGTCTTTACGTTTTCTGTTAGTACAATTGAAATGTATATATAAAGCACCAAATCAGTAATACACAACAGAAAACCCCAACAATCAGGCCATATAAATATGGCCTCATATAAATAAGCACTGGGTGACAGTGGGAAGGAAAAATCCCATTTTAACAGGAAGAAACCTCCAAACTGACTAGCAACATTCTCCTCAGCTTGTTTTTTGATACTAATGCACTTTTTTCTAACTTAGACTGTCTTTAATCTTGCTAATAGGCTCCCAGCTATTTTCACTTTCAAGATTAAGCTTGAGATTTTTTCTATTTTTTGATAAAGGATATCATTAGGGCTGGGTCAGATGACCCAGAACCATGATGAGGAACCTCCCATCATGCACTGAGCATCTCTCCTGTAGTTTTGCCTTGTCTTTTATTTGTGGCCTTGCTGTGTTCTTCTTTTTGGTCTTCTTTTTGACCTCACTGGCTGTCTATTCCTCATCTAAGTGAGTTCTTCCTTCCCACCATCACCACATTTTTGCTCATAGAGAACTGTCTAATAAATGAGGTTTTCTCTCTAATGTTGAAGGGTATGTAGCTTACAAAATAAAGATCCTTGAGGCCACTGTCACAGGCAGTATAAAAATAATTTGGAATTTATAGACCCCTGTGCCTCCTTTCTACTTAATACTGTGGACAAAAGTAGAAGTTCCACAGCCAAATTATCGTCAGGTGTTGATTTTAAACTTCTAAATGCTTATTGGTGGAACATGCTGAACCATGCTAATTAATCTGTTTGCTTAATCTTATTTTCAGTCTTCAGTCAGACGTAGAAAACCCTGCAACTTTAAGTCAACTCAGTGGTCTGCTCCATTGAGATATAAGCCCTCCAAAGAAAGCGCAGAGAAGTAAGCTGTTTCACACCATTTAATCACAAATCCCCCTGCTTTCTTTTCCTTTCTCCCTCTCTCTGCTCGCCTCCATCTATTTCTCTGGCCTCCAGACAGCTGAGTGGCTCTTCTGGATTTCGCTGACACTGCGCCTGGTCCCGCCTGGCCTTTTTTAATCAGGATGGACACTCTGGAGTCAGAGCTAACTTGTCCAATCTGCCTGGAGCTCTTTGAAGACCCACTGCTGCTCCCCTGTGCCCATAGCCTGTGCTTCGGCTGCGCCCACCGCATCCTCGTCTCCCACTGCACCACCAACGAATCAGTTCAGAGTATCGGCGCCTTCCAGTGCCCCACCTGTAGATATGTCATTTCCCTGAGTCCAGAGCGTGGACTAGAAGGACTTAAGAGAAACGTGACCTTGCAGAATATTATTGATAGAGTTCAACGGGCCTCATCTTCAGCCGGGCTCCCCCTGCCGCTGTCGTTGCCTGCCCCTCACAGTGGGCCCAACTCTCCCGGCGAGGAAGGTAGCAACCGGTTGGCCCTGGTCCCCCTCAGCGCTGCCATGTCCAGCCCGAGCACACCTCCGGAGCCGGTCCAGTGCCAGTTCTGCGAGCAGGACCCGCCACAGGACGCAGTTAAGACATGCGTAACGTGCGAGGTGTCGTACTGCGACGAATGCCTCAGAGCGACACACCCCAACAAGAAGCCGTTCACTGGCCACCGGCTCATCGAGCCTATGCCGGACTGCCACCTCAGAGGGCTCCAGTGCCTGGAGCACGAGGAGGAAAAGGTGAACATGTACTGTGTCACTGACGATCAGCTCATCTGCTCACTCTGCAAGTTAGTTGGACGTCACAGGGACCACCAAGTGGCAGCACTGAGCGACCGCTATGAAAAACTCAGGGTAAGCACAGAAATGGATTTTTTTCTCACCCTTCTTATGTTTGCTTAATTGATTTTAATGAAGTTATTTCACATTTGAAATCTTCTAAAAATCCCCATTTTCTAATTAAAACCTGCAAGATCCGTCACATTCTAATGACAGATAAGCTTATACTTTCTTTGTTCTTTATCTTATACCCATATAATGAATATTAAACTTTAATTTTACTCTGCTCAAAAGTGTGAAATTTTCTATTATCCTTATACAGGTATCTCACTCGATTATCATGTGAGATTATCATGTGCTGACTTATTATCTCTGCTGAATAATTAAGCAATTAGCATAATCACTGCGCCATGCCACTGTGCCAGGAGGGCGTTCAGAAGCAAGCACACAGAGCGAATATGGGGAGTGTCATTAGTGACGAGGCATGGTGTCTTTAATGAGGTTGCAGGTTAACGAGCACCAATTGCCTGCTGGGTGTAGGTGTGCTTAATTGAGCATGGCTATTACAATGTGCTGGTAATGGAGATGGAGGCAGTGTGTGTCTGTGCGTGTGTGTGTCTTACAGCAAAGATCATGCAGAACTAAATGTTACCTTGGATGTCCACCAGATGGTTTCTTCTATTAATCTGCCTTTGACTAATATAAGCACTTTGCTGGAGAGTGTCTCCAGTGATTTAGGATTACATTTGCATAATGTTGGAGTATTTTAATGGCTTCTATAAAAGGGAAGGGAGACAAAAAAGAGAAAAAATAGGTCAAAGTAGAAATGGCCAAGGTATAGCGACTTCAGTCCAAAGCCAAGCTTTCATAGTACAAAGCAAAATCCAGAAACTAGGAGTATGCAGTTACCTCCATTTACAAAGCTGAATTAATGAATGCAAGACGCATCACTAGTCTCCACATCACACCCCTGATGATGTAAGTTCACTTTTACCTCACGTTTGTGGTCCTACTAGGCTGCTAGTAATCTGATTTTAGATCAGCACAGAGAAAGTTTTCTCTGGCAAACGGCCTTCTATGTCACACAATGAACACATCACTTCTTCTGTTCAGTTAGAGTAAGCAGGTCAACAGGTCAACAGTTTGCAACAACACTTTCTGTTTTCGAATGCGTCTTTGTCTTCAGTTAAAGTTGAAAATTAGACATTATTTAAGTTATGTAAAACAGTATATAGGCACATACAGATACACTATCACTATTTCAGCTTAGCTTTGTTGAATCATAACCAGTGTTGGAGTCTTTACTCAAAACAAGTAACAGATTACACATTACTCAGTACTTTTCATCTAAGTAAAATAAATGGAAATAAATTGTCTCATACTTACAAGTTAGGAATATCAACCATAGGCTACAGTTCTGCACACAACTCAAATGACTGTCTGAATGAGGACACATATACAATCTTTCCTTTAGTATGTACGTATGTAATGTGCCAAGAACACAAAGCAAAGTTGAAAACAAACTCAAAGAGACTTTAAAGGGATCGCCATGGTAATTCTACTTTACAAATAGGGAATGGAGGCTACAACGTCACTGCCTCTGTTATCTGTTGAACTTCAGACTCTGGCTGTTGGGCTGGGGCCAGCATGCGATTAACTTTGTCTTCATTCTGTGCTCTTGACTAGCTTTGTGTTAGCATGTTTTTGTGTAGAGGGTTGCAAAAGAACTGAGATTGTGTTAGCGGTGCTTGTTTCTGTCCTGGACTAATCATGAGCTTGTCCCTTTGTGCTATCAAAGAAAAAAACTATGTTTCTATCACCACATTTTCCTCCTCCTGCACATGAACTGAAATTAGCTGATTATAGCACAAATGGGTCTGTGAGATATCCCATTAATAATGTTTTTCCATGGTCAACATTGACCAGTCACATTTTTGTGATGTCATAGCTTTGAAATATGGAGGAAAGTGTCTTAGGTTGTATAAAACTCTCTTCCAGAAAAAATGAGTCATGTTAAAAGAAAACAAAAACACTGCTGTATAGTTGTTTAGAAGTGGGAATTAGCTATAGAGCACAGGGCTGTAAACATGTTTTTCTGCTTTAAAGTTGGGCATTGTAAGATGCTAATCTACTGGGACTGACTCGCTTTTGGAGGCAGCCTCAAGCAGCAGCTGGAGGAACTGACTTTTTTGTGCTATTTCTGTGTTCCTCTTGGTATCGACCCCAATCATCATGATCCCCACTGGTGCATCCTAAGTATACCCATTTATGCATCTACTGTAGGTTGCAGCTGTGTCACCTCTAATGTCCAGCACAAGCGCATTCACTTAGGTCAAACCTGATGATTTGAATAAAGACAACATTTGAGCTTTTCTGCTGATAAGTCCACACAAGCATACTGTGGAATACGCCAGGCACAAACACACGCACACACAGGTATGTACTGCCAACTTCCACATTTATT